CACCCAAGATTAAAAGCAATAGTATGGCAAACCGAGATGGTTTGCCATGCACGGAAGCTTTATATGTATTATATAAGTATTTAGATATATGGGGAGACCCCAAGATTTAAAGAAACGTTTTTCAAGACCTAAGACTTAAAGACGAGGTGGGCTTCGGAAGAAATTTTCATCGAAGGGATTTAGTAGAATGGATGAGCATATATCTAACTACTCTATTAATCCTTTATAGAAACTGTAATTGGTGTCACCTTGATAATACATAATAATAATAGATTAGAGTCCATAGTTAAAACAACATATTAATTCTACATAAAATGGACCTTACTTATAGAGAAATGTTATACATGGACCATAATTTAACAAAAAGGTGGTCCATCTTCGGAGGAATTAGCCTCATTTACCACGGATAATAATACACATGAGCTACTACGGAAATAGTAATTGTCCTAAGGACAATATACACAAAAGATAGTACTACAAGCATTATAAGTAGATCCTCCATACGAGCCAAAAACCCGGAGTCGGCTTCTCGAACCGTCGACTAGTCCAATCCAGTGGAGTGAGTAGCACTAATACCTGCAAACGGAGAATATTTATAGGAGCTAACAAAGCTCAGTAAGTATCTCGAAAGATACCGAGAATTTAAAATATAGTCTTACTACGTATATTATATTGTAGCAATACAAGCATAACGAAATTAAGTATAAAGCACGTTTCTAGAATTTAAAGTTCGCGAACTTTAGAAAGCTTTTTCATTTTATCGGATCCTATGAGAAATTAATTTCTTTACTTAGAAAGTAGATTATTCTGAGCCCGTTTTTGGAGTATTCAAGAGCAAGGGTTAGATATGGAATTCTCATCTTTGGCTTGGGAAATATCTTACTGATTTAGGGGGGTGGTTCGAGCTTGATGGAGCTGATGACAATGGTAGTTTCGCTGGGTTGAAGAAGAGGAAGATAAGAGAGAGAGGGGGTGAGGCAGCCGAAGTGTGAGAGGGGGGAGGAGACTCTTGGCCTTCTAATAGGCATGCTTGAGGTGGAGTGCGGGATTGGCCTTAGTAGGGGTTAGGCTAGGCTTAGGATTATCATTTTTATAATTATTTAATAATCCTCCCCTAAACACACACACATACATATACGGCACACATATATACATAGATATTATGTATTATGGTAATTATGCTAAGTCCTAGCAGGCATGTATAATTCACCCGTAAACACATATGCACATAAGGTCACATATAAAATTCGATATCTACTAATTTAGCACATAATAATTCATGTATAGCCCTATCATTAGCAGATATTTAGTATTTAAGTGATGTGAGATTTATTTTTTAGTAATTATCGTGTTTCGAAAACCTGGGGTGTTACAATCTTCCCCCCTTCAAAAAAATTTGTCCCCAAAATTTGTTACCTGTCCCGAAAAATTCGGGATAGAGACTACTCATTTCTGATTCGCGTTCCCATGTGGCTTCTTCGGGGGTATGGTTGTGCCACTGTACTTTGACTAGGTGAATCTCCCGGTTTCGAAGTGTCTTGGTTTTGGAGTCGAGAATTCGGAGGGGTCTTTCTTCGTAAGAAAGGTTAGGATTTAGCTCAATAGGTTCGGTTTTGAGGACGTGATCGGGACTGGAAATGTATTTGCGAAGCATGGAGACGTGGAATACGTTATGGATTCAGGATAGATTAGGTGGAAGTGCTAGGCGGTAAGCGCGGCTGCCTATTCTTTCGAGTATTTCAAACGGTCCGATATATCGCGGAGATAGTTTGCCACGGTTTACAAATCGCAAAATTCCTTTAAAAGGGGCTACTTTTAGGAATACTAATTCTCCGACTTCGAATTCCAAATCTCGCCTTCTATTATTAGCGTAGCTTCGTTGTCGGTCCTGGGCAACTTGCATATTTTCTCGGATGTCTCGAACTAGGTTTACCGTTTGTTGGACCAAGTCGGGTCCGAGAAGTTTTCTTTCTCCAACTTCATCCCAGTAGAGGGGAGACCTGAACTTGCGTCCATAAAGTGCTTCGTACGGCGCCATTCCGATTGATGATTGGAAGCTATTATTATATGCAAATTCAATCAACGGCAGTCGCGATTCCCAGTTGCCTCCAAAGTCGAGTATACAGGCTCGAAGTAGGTCCTCAAGAGTTTTGATCGTCCGTTCTGACTGGCCATCGGTTTGGGGGTGAAAGGTAGTGCTGAAGGACAACTTGGTTCCAAGGGTTTCTTGCAAACTTTTCCAAAATTTTGAAGTGAACCGTGGGTCTCGATCCGAAATGATAGCAGTCGGAATTCCATGGAGTCGAACGATTTCTTGCATATAGAGTTCTGCGAGTTTATCTAAGCTAAACGTCTTGCGGATTGGAAGAAAATGGGCCGATTTGGTTAGCCGGTCGACGATTACCCAAATAGAGTCGGATCCGCGTTGGGTCCTTGGAAATCCTTGAACAAAGTCCATTGTTATCACTTCCCATTTCCATTCGGGAATTTGATTTAGTTGTAGTAATCCTCCGGGTCGTTGGTGTTCAGTCTTGATTGTTGGCAAGTGAGGCATTTGGCAACGAATCGAGCTATATCTTTCATCATTCCAGGCCACCAATATAGTTTATTCAAGTCTTGGTACATTTTGGTTGATCCGGGATGACATGTATATATGGTCTGATGTGCTTCGGCTAAGATGAGTCGTTTAATTTCTGCATCGTCGGGAATACAAGTGCGGTTTTGGAATTGGAGAAATCCGTCTTTGGATTTAGGGTTTGATTCGAGATTTGTGCGAATTTTCCGAAGTTGGAGGTCTTGATCTTGAGTTGTTCTCACGCGGTTCCGAAGATCCGATTCAACCACTAGAGCGTTTATCGACTTCCGACTAAGGGCATCTGCCACAACATTCGCCTTCCCGGGGTGGTATAGGAATTCGCAGTCATAATCTTTAACTAGATCCAGCCATCTTCGCTGCCTCATGTTCAATTCCTTGTGTGTGAAGAAATACTTCAGGCTTTTGTGATCGGTGTAAATGGTGCACTTGTCGCCGTAGAGGTAGTGACGCCAGATTTTGAGTGCAAAGACTACTGCTGCGTGTTCTAGATCGTGAGTTGGGTAGTTCTTCTCGTATTCCTTGAGCTGGCGGGACGCGTAGGCTATCACTTTTCCGTTTTGCATAAGTACAGCACCTAGTCCGAGCTTGGATGCGTCGCTATAAATCACGAACCCTCCGGATCCATTAGGTAGTGAAATAATTGGAGCGGTGATCAAACGTTTCTTTAGTTCTTGGAAACTAGCCTCGCGGTTTGGGGTCCATTGGTAATTGACTCCTTTCTTCGTGAGTTGAGTGAGGGGTGATGCGATTTTTGAAAAATCTTGAACGAATTTGCGATAATATCCGGCTAAGCCAAGGAAACTTCTTATCTCCCTTACATTCGTTGGAGTGGGCCAGGTTGAGATTGCTTCTATTTTGCCAGGGTCGACGGAGAGTCCTTCGGCGGAGATGATGTGGCCAAGGAAAGTTACTCTGGATAGCCAAAATTCACATTTACTGAACTTGGCGTAGAGTTGATGCTCTCGGAGTGTTTGAAGTACTGTTCGTAATTGGGAGGTATGTTCTTTTTGGGTTTTGGAGTATATAAGAATATCATCGATAAAAACGATGACAAATTTGTTGAGGTACTGATGAAAAACTCGGTTCATAAGATCTATAAAGGCGGCGGGGGCATTGGTCGATCCAAACGGCATTACTACGAATTCGTAGTGGCCGTATCGGGTTCGGAAAGCAGTTTTAGGAATATCAGTTTCTTTGACTTTAAGCTGGTGGTAACTTGACCGAAGGTCGATTTTGGAGAAGACGGATGACCCTTGGAGTTGGTCAAAGAGATCGTCGATGCGGGGTAGAGGATATTTATTCTTTATGGTCACCTTATTCAGCTCTTGATAGTCGATGCAAAGGCGGAAGAATCCGTCTTTCTTCTTAACGAATAGTACCGGGGCTCCCCATGAAGAGTGACTGGGACGGATGTAACCTTTATCGAGTAATGCTTGGACTTGATTCTTCAATTCTTTGAGTTCCACAGGAGCCATACGGTACCTAGCCTTTGATATTGGTTCTGTTCCAGGAATAAGATGAATTTCGAATTCGATTTCGCGATCGGGCGGTAGCCCTGGTAAATCGTCGGGGAAGACATCGGGAAATTCTTGAACCACGGGAAGTTCAGACATCACCAGTTGAGGTCTTGAGCTAGTTTCTAGAAGATCGACTAGATAGCCGATATGTCCTTTGTTGATGAGTTTGGTGGCTTTGATTGCGGATATTATGGGAATTAGGGTCTTGGTGTCGCTTTGAAACTCTAAAAGGGTGTGATTAGGGAGAGAAAAGCTTACGGTCTTTAGGGCGCAATTGATTTGGGCCTTGAATTTGGTCAGCCAATCCATTCCATTATGAGATCAAAGTTCTCAATTGTTAGGACGATGAGATCGAACCTCATGGGTTGGGATTGAATTTGAATAGGAAAATCCTTCACCACTTTGTCAGTGATCATTTCTTCGCCCGAGGGCATACAAATGCGATATTCGTGGCTTACTTGAGTCGGTATCAGGCCAAAACGTACGCACACATTGGTGGAAATAAAGGAATGTGTAGAACCAGAATCAACCAAAGCATACACGGGTTCTCCAAGAATAAGAACGGTACCTGCGATCATCGTCGGATCTTGACGCACTTGTTCTCGGGTCATGGCAAACGCGCGGCTGGGGACTCGAGTTTGAGCGTTGGGGCAGTCTCTCGCTTTATGGCCGGGCTTTCTGCATCGAAAACATAACTCGGTGTCTTTTACACAGATCCCAAAATGTGCCTTTCCGCAGTTCGAGCAAGTTGGTTTGGGCGTTGGCGCTACTGGTTTAGGGTTTGAGTTTTGGACCTTCTTCCCCTTGAATTTATGATTCCCAAAGTTGGCTTTCTTCCATGGTCGCGGTGTGGGTGGCTGGGGCCGTTTCCCTTGTTGAATTTCATTCTAATCTTGGGCAGCCGTTAGTGCTTTGTCCACCATCTGGCGAAAGGTGGTGGCACTAGACATGCGGATATCCCTTCGGATTTCGGGTTGTAGTCCCCTTGTGAAGTGGTTTTTGTTTTCCTCGACGTCCTTGGCGATAAATGGGGCATACAGGCATCCTCGTTCGAATAATCGAATGTATTCGGTCATGGGAAGGTCCCCTTGGCGGAGTTCCATAAATTCCTTGAGTTTGTTGGCTCGGACGTCCTTGGAAAAGTATTTCTCAAAGAATTGGACCTTGAACGCCTGCCACGATAAGTTCTCAAGTTCGATACCTTCCTTAGCTCCCTCCCACCAGTTCCGAGCTTCGTTGCGAAGTAAAAATAGGGCACAATGCACTCGTTCACGGTCATTCATTTGCATGTAATCAAAGATCACCTCCAAGGATTTGATCCACTCTTCGGCTACGACCGGGTCGGGACCACCGTGAAACTCAGAGGGATTCATGCGAAGGAAACGTTCGTATAGGTTTTGGGGATTTGGTTGGGGTGTAGGTGGGGTTTGTCGGTGTTGAAGGAGTTACTGAATCTGATTGTGATGATTTTGCGCTTGCTCGCGGATAAGGTTGGAAAGATCGAGAATAATGTTAGCGGGGTCTTGGAGATTATTCGTGGTGGCGGTGCTCCGAGTTTGCCTTCTTGCCATGTCTTAGTGTGTGCTGCAAACAAAATTTTTAGAACATGGAAAAACAAAATACAAGTAAACACATAATTACCGGATAGACCGAGTCTTCACGCTTCGAGGGTTCCGAATTCCGGTTCGGTGCTCGTATAAAGTTTCTACAAATTTTGCTCTGATACCATGTCTGTGACACCCCCTAGCAATAGTATGGCAAACCGAGATGGTTTACCATGCACGGAAGCTTTATATGTATTATATAAGTTTTTCGATATATGGGGAGACCCCAAGATTTAAAGAAACGTTTTTCAAGACCTAAGACTTAAAGACTAGGTGGGCTTCGGAAGAAATTTTCATCGAAGGGATTTAGTAGAATGGATGAGCATATATCTAACTACTCTATTAATCCTTTATAGAAACTGTAAGTGGTGTCACCTTGATAATACATAATAATAATAGATTAGAGTCCATAGTTAAAACAACATATTAATCCTACATAAAATGGACCTTACTTACAGAGAAATGTTATACATGGACCATAATTTAACAAAAAGGGGGTCCATCTTCGGAGGAATTAGCCTCCTTTACCACGGATAATAATACACATGAGCTACTACGGAAATAGTAATTGTCCTAAGGACAATATACACAAAAGATAGTACTACAAGCATTATAAGTAGATCCTCCATACGAGCCAAAAACCCGGAGTCGGCTTCTCGAACCGTCGACTAGTCCAATCCGGTGGAGAGAGTAGCACTAATACCTGCAAACGGAGAATATCTATATAAGCTAACAAAGCTCAGTAAGGATCTCGAAAGATACCGAGAATTTAAAATATAGTCTTACTATGTATATTATATTGTAGCAATACAAGCATAACGAAATTAAGTATAAAGCACGTTTCTAGAATTTAAAGTTCGTGAACTTTAGAAAGCTTTTTCATTTTATCGGATCCGACGAGAAATTAATTTCTTTACTTAGAAAGTAAGAAGATTATTCTGAGCCCATTTTTGGTGGAATCAAACCACCCAACTGTAGTATCTATGGTTGGAATACCGGCCCCCTGTATCCTTTCTCATCCTTTCTAAGTATTTCATTAACCTCCCCAATTTATTTTACTTAATTTCAAAAGTGGCATGGTCGAAGTATTTAGAATTCCGTTTGGGTAAAGATACCAATATTCCACAACAACCCATCAGTAATTTGAAACACCACAAGACATCACAAATCTCAATCAAGTGACAAACAACCACATACTACACAAAAAGATTAACTATCATCATATATCAAGTTATGCATTCATGCATGCTTACCCACATATAACCTCAATTCAAAACAAGACTATTAAAGACCTACTTAATTTCTATATTTTCCTTAAGCTACTTAACCCCGAAATTTCTTTGCTAATTAATTTAGGATCAAGAAAACATATCAGTTTAGAAGATTTCGAGTATTCAGCACAACGCCCCTTAATTTCTGGAAATTACAATTTTGACCCCAAAGTTCAAGACCCACACATGCAATTAACCTAAAAGTTCATAATCCATATTTTCATGAAAATCAAACCTTAACTCATCTGGGATTTCGATAAATGCAGAAAAATCCAGTTAAAAGTTATTTTATGCAGAATTTTCAGAAATTACATATTTCACCCTAGATTCTCTAGATCTATACATGCAAGACCCTTAGAAATTCCCAAAAATCCTTTTTCTTGCAAAACCTTTCAAAAACTGACATTGTCCTTTACTAAATGCTGGAAAACAGTTTTGGAAATCCATTTAAAACTAACTTCTCAAAAATTACAGATTTGACCCAAAAATCTTTCGAATTACACATGCAACCACACTACAATTTCAAAATCCACTTTTTCATGAAAAACCCCTAACAATCCGAAATCTTTGTTCAATATATGCAGAAAAACGAAGCTAAAAATTTAATTTATGCAACAACTTCAAAAATTCTATTTTCACCCCAAAACCTTTAGATCCATACATGCAAGACCACTAGGAGTTCAAAAATTACTTTTTCTTGTAAAACTTCCCTAAATCTGAAATTTTCGTTCAATAGATGCTAGAAAACAGTTTTAAAAACCCATATAAAACTGACTTCTCACAAATTACAGATCTGGCCCGAAAATATGCAGATTTACACATGCAACCCCAAAACTTTGCCCAAATTGATTTTCTTCACAATTTTCGAAATGACTAAAATTTCTTTGAAGGTAATTAACTCAAATCTACCATTTATGACCTCTGATCATACATGCAGTTATATAAATCATATGAACTAACAAAAAGGAACAACTAAATGCAAGAACAACATAAAACAAGAAATAGGGGTGTCTTTTAAATTAATTTCGAAATTATTTTCTTGATACTTGATACCTCCATTTGCAGAAAGGATTTCGATTCCTTACCTCAAAAATAGAAAGAAACAAAAGCTAGTTGGAAAGGGAAGGTTCTTGAGGGCCTTCAAAGGAAACCGAAAGTTAGAAGAAGAAAAGGAACGGAGAAGGAGGAAGAGATTTAGAACTCGAATGGCAGCTCTTACCTCTTCAAGTATGGAGATTCAACCAAGCTACTTTGATGGAGAAAGACACGGTATAGATTTCAATGTGAGAGGTGTTATCAATAGTGAAAGGACACCATGTATTTATAGTGTTTTTGGAGTATTCAAGGGCAAGGGTTAGATATGGAATTCTCATATTTGGCTTGAGAAATATCTTACTGATTTCGGGGGGTTGTTCGAGCTTGATGGAGCTGATGACAATGGTGGTTTTGGTGGGTTGAAGAAGAGGAAGATAAGAGAGAGAGGGGGTGAGGCAGCCGAAGTGTGAGAGGGGGGAGGAGACTCTTGGCCTTCTAATAGGCATGCTTGAGGTGGAGTGTGGGATTGGCCTTAGTAGGGGTTAGTCTAGGCTTAGGATTATCATTTTTATAATTATTTAATAATCCTCCCCTAAACACACACACATATATACGGCACACATATATACATATATATTATGTATTATGGTAATTATGCTAAATCCTAGCATGCATGTATAATTCACCCGTAAACACATATGCACATAAGGTCACATATAAAATTCGATATCTACTAATTTAGCACATAATAATTCATGTATAGCCCTATCATTAGCAGATATTTAGTATTTAAGTGATGTGAGATTTATTGTTTCGTAATTATCGTCTTTCGAAAATGTGGGGTGTTACACTACAGTCCTAGGACATTAATACAAATCAACAAACATGCACAAACACACTCGCTCAAATGGACATGCACAAACGTACATGTAAAAAAACATGCGCTAAAGTGCATTCATAACAACGTTCATAAACACGTGAAATACAACATTAGGACTTTAATACGCATAACCTAACAACAGCAAAAACACCGGATACAAAAGATATAGTGGAGTGTAGAATAACACTCAACGTTTACATTTACGTGGATTTTTTTATGGATTAATTTATATTTCTGTTTTAATTGGTGGATTTAGTATTCTATAGGGACAAATTGATAATTTGGTGTCCATGAAGCAAAAATGATCAAAGAGTAAGAAAAGAGTTGCAATTAGGAAATTAAAATCAAATTAGAAGAGAGGATCCCTCAACATCTTCGGTAGTGTCCACGAAGTCGAGCATAACTTTCTCATCCGGACTCCAAATCAACTGGTTTTTGCGGCATTAGAAAGCTATTTCAGCTGGCTACAATTCCTGTCTAATGTCAAAATTCCAAATTCGGACTCGAACATGGTCAAAATTGGATTCCAAAAGCGATCATGAAAATACCCTCTACAGTTCAAGGACACGAATGCGCATCAAGAAACGTGCACCAAAACACTCGCTACAAAAGATACGCACATAAGTAAAAGTACAAAATCATGCACCAAAGCACTCACGCAAAAGTACATTAGCAAAAAGGATCATGAAAACACAAACTACAATCCTAGGACATTAATACAAATCAACAAACATGCACAAACACACTCGCTGAAATGGACATGCACAAACGTACATGTAAAAAAACATGCGCAAAAGTGCATTCGCAACAACGTTCATAAAAACACGAAATACAACACTAGGACTTTAATACGCATAACCTAACAACAGCAAAAACACCGGATACAAAAGATACAGTGGAGTGTAGAATAACACTCAACGTTTACAGTTTCGTGGATTTTTTTATGGATTAAGTTATATTTCTTTTTTAATTGGTGGATTTAGTATTCTATAGGGAAAAAATTATAATTAGGTGTCTATGAAGCAAAAATGATCATAGAATAAGAAAAAAGTTGCAATTAGGAAAATAAAATCAAATTAGAAGAGAGGATCCCTCAACATCTTCGGTAGTGTCCACGAAGTCGAGCATAACTTTCTCATCCGGACTCCAAATTAACTGGTTCCGGTGGCATTAGAAAGCTATTTCAGCTGGCAACAATTCCTGTCTAATGTCAAATTTCCAAATTCAGACTCGAACATGGTCAAAATTGGATTCCAAAAGCGATCATGAAAATACCCGCTACAGTTCGAGGACACGAATGCGCATCAAGAAACCTGCACCAAAACACTCGCTA